TAGCAGGGACGGCCTTTTTAAAATACTTCCCAAGATTGGTTGTCCACCTCATCTCCTCAACATCATCAGATCTTTCCATCAGGGAATGAAAGGCACTGTAGTTTTCGACGGCTCAACATCAGACCCCTTTGACATTCGAAGCGGAGTGAAACAGGGCTGTGTCCTCGCACCAACACTTTTTGGGATATTTTTTGCTGTCATGCTGAAGCATGCCTTTGGAACTGCAACCGAGGGCGTCTATCTCCGGACTAGATCAGACGGAAAGCTCTTTAATCTTTCTAGATTGAGAGCAAAGACCAAAGTACAACTGAAATGCATGCGGGACTTCCTCTTCGCAGATGATGCAGCCATTGTTGCCCACTCTACCGAAGACCTCCAACAACTCATGAATCGTTTCAGCAAGGCCTGCCAAGACTTTGGACTAACAATCAGCCTGAAGAAAACACAAGTCATGGGCCAGGGGGTGGACTCACCTCCTTCTATTACCATCTCCACAAAAGAATTGGAAGTTGTTCATGACTTTGTGTACCTCGGCTCAACCATCTCTGACACCCTCTCTCTAGATGTCGAGTTGGATAAACGCATTGGCAAAGCAGCCACCATGTTCTCTAGACTCACAAAGAGAGTATGGCTCAATAAGAAGCTGACGACACATACGAAGATCCAGGTCTATAGAGCATGTGTCCTAAGCACACTCCTGTACTGCAGTGAGTCCTGGACCCTTCGTGCACGGCAGGAGAGGAAGCTGAACACCTTCCATATGCGTTGCCTCCGACGGATTTTTGGTATCACCTGGCAGGACAAAGTTCCACACAGTGTAGTCCTAGAACGAGCTGGAATTTTCAGCATGAATACATTACTGAAGCAGCGACGTCTACGTTGGCTTGGGCACGTCGTGAGAATGGCTGATGGTCGGATTCCAAAGGATCTCCTGTATGGAGAATTAGTGCAGGGAATGCGCCCCAGAGGGAGACCACAACTGCGATACAAGGACATCTGCAAGCGAGATCTGAAGGCCTTAGGAATAGACCTCAACAGATGGGAAAACCTGACATCTGAGCGTTCAGCCTGGAGGCAGGCACTGCATCACGGCCTCTCCCAATTCGAAGAGACCCTTGCCCAGCAGGCCAAGGCAAAGAGGAAGTCACAAAAGCAGCAAAAGCAGGGAGCCGGACAGGGGACAGATTGGATTTGTCTTCAGTGTGGAAGGGACTGTCACTCTTGAATTGGCCTTCTCAGCCACACTAGACGCTGGTCTAAGTTCTCCATACAGAGCACATTACCATAGTCTCTCGAGACTGAAGGATGCCTATCATCCTGCCTATCTAGTCTTGTTAGGACCACTCTAGGCATTGACTTTTTGCGATCGCTATAGCGATTCGCAAAACAGTTATTCCTATGGGAGAATTTCGCTGGACAACGTTTGGTCCCTGCTTCGCAAACCGATTTTTGCTAGACGATTTTGACAGCTCCCTCCATGCTTGCAAAATGGGTGTTTTCGGGACCTAAGCTTCTCAAGACAGCGATTAAAACAGCTGATCGGCGGTTCGCAAAGCAGCTTTCCTATGGCCGATCTTCGCTAGACAACGATTCTTCCCCATTGGAGTGCATTAAACAGGTTTCAATGCATTCCAATGGGGAAATGCTTTTCGCTAGACAATGATTTCGCTAAACAGTGATTTCAGTGGAACGGATTATCATTGTCTAGCGAGGCACCACTGTAAGTTCATTTGGTATAGAAAAATAAGGTAATCACTCTCATTGTAACTGTAGGGTTTTCGGCTTCAGGTAGAGAGGCATGGGCAGTTCACAGACCAAGCAGGGTTTTACCTCAACCCCAGTATAAGGGGTAGGTGCTGCTTAATCATGAGTTACCTGTGTAAAGTGCCTAAAAAGATTTAGTTCCCAAAGATAAGAAAGATGATGCTTCTTTTTTAATCACAGAAAATAGGTGTATTTTAGATTAAACAGAACTAGAAATGTTAAAACTCTGAAAAAATGGGGGACTTTTTTCTGAGAAGAGCATCCACTGTTCTATTCTGTTCTATTCTGTTTTTCAAATAAAAGGAATGGTAGATAAATACATTATGAAATATTTTATCATGTTCAAAATCCAACAATATATTGCTATCATACTTTCATTCCATAAAAAAGCTTCTAAGTATACTGTAGTTGATTTTGGAAAGGAATTTTCAGTATTGTGGAATACAGAATGTCTCCATATACTTGGTCCAACATTTTTTGTTCTCAAGCACATTGTGAAAGAAAGTATAATCATAAATACCGCAAATTAAAAATGAAGATGGCATTGGACAAGCTTATTTTTAAGTGTGGAATTCTTAGAGTTTTATGTGTCTGTGAAAGTGTTAAAATGAATGATTAAAAGAAGATGAAATTTCTGGTCATAATTCAGAAAAATGATTATTGTAAAGCAAAATATTTAATTAGTTCTCTCTCCCTACATTTTTAACCCTTTCCCTTCAAAACATGTTTTTTCAGTGTTTCCTTGAAACTATGGAGGGGCAAGTTCAGAATATACCATCTTTGTTTTACTAAAATGTTGATGGCTTCTGCTGTTATCTTTGATTTTTTTTTCTGCTTTCTTTTGAAGGAAGAAAAACTAAAAGTACTATAGTTCCTAGAATTCAACCACTGTGACTCCATTACTGACAAAATTAAAAACGTAAATCAATTAGTAAATTTGTATTTTTTTCTGAAAAAAAACTTTTCAATTTCACATTCCTGTATTATTCCCATAGTTATCAAAATCCAACAATTTTACAAGCAGACCTAATATGATTCATGTTCCTAAAATAATGAAGTGACTTCAGTTTTGTAAGGGATGCTAAAAAACGAAAAATAGAAATGTTGAATGTTTTCACATTTCCGCCAAAGTTTCCTCATGGGTTCAAAATTTCTGCAAAGTTAATGTGTCTGCTTGAGACAGAAGGTTCACTTTCATCTGTTCACAAAGTAATCCCTCCTTTAAATAATCTTTTGAAGTTACTTATTTTCTTACTTATTTATTTGATTTATATGCTGCCTTCTCGAATTGAGACTAAAGGCAGTTAAAAATAACAGAAATGAGAGCTGATAAGCAAGGGTGTAAAACTACTTTATAGCAAGGACATAACTTTGCTTCCTCAGCACTTATGCTTTATAAATCTATCAAAAATACACACTTCAGTGCAGTAGATACATGTACTGTATTCATGTGCTAATTGTCACAAGTGATTGTGTCTTAAAATGTTTTAATTTTTCAGTGTTTTCTATAAAGAAAAAGAACTAACTTTTCCCCTGTTTTCTTTTAAATGTAGAACTATGGATTGGAAACGGAAAACCTAAAAACACTATCTCACAAGTTGAATGCATCTGCCAAAAACCTTCAGAATTTTATAACGGGGAGGAGAAGGAGTGGCCACTATGATGGTAGAACAAGCAGAAAGTTACCAAATGATTTCCTTACCTCAGTGGTGGATCTGATTGGTGCAGCAAAAAGTCTTCTGGCTTGGCTAGACAGGTAAATAATTTCAGCAGTTTGGTAAACTGCATGGAATGTAAATATTCACACACATGTACACATGGAATTTGTTGGAAAGTTTTATTGAATCTTTAAATGGAAGTCAAATTAATCAGCTTAAACATTTGAACTACTTCAAAACTGTTTAAGATACTGGCACTATATACAGATAAACCACATTAGAAGTGTAGTAGTTCCCTTCTGCTTCTGAATTCAGACCAGTCTTCCTTAACCTTGCCGATCAAGTGCTGTTGGGTTACAGTTCTTATAACCTTCAACTGTTATGACCAGTTGTCTGAAATGATGGGCAGTAAGCTCTATGGATTAAAGTTTGGAAAAGATTTCATTATCATTCTCACCAATTATGAAGAAGCAAAGTGATGAAAACAAATGGTGTTTCATTTTTCAAATTTTATATGTCCTTCTTTTCAAAAATTCATAAGGCAGCTAACAATCATTAAGATCCAATATAAATATTATAAGATCCATTATATTATAAAAAACTAATCCAAATACAGTAATATGAATGACAGAGTAATCAGGATCGGGGCATCAGTAATTAAGGGTAAGAAAATCTATGAATGTCTGTTTTTGTGAAATTGTTGTTTCCCTGACAGTATATTTGTTTTGGTCTATGTTCCGATATGTGTGAAAAATCTGTCAAAGAAAAATGAAAATACACTGTTATGTAGTCATCTCCTAAAACACATTTTGAGTGTCCATTTTCTGAGTTGTGAAATGATTGCAACTTTGTGAATTTTAATTCACAAATGCATTCCAGTTCACATACTTTTGCAGTATAAATTTGATAGATGCATATAAAATATCATACCTGATTAATTTTGCTTACGCTGCTGCATGTTGTTGTTTTGTGTTTCCCACCTTAAGAAAGAAAGGTTTTCTTTGAAAGCTTAGATGCTACGTACTTGTATAGACTTTACTCCGTCTTTGTGTCAAGTAATACTGCTTTATTTTTACTTAATGGTCTTTAGTGCCCTAATTTCTATTTTTACACCACAGTCCTTTCCTGCTACTTCACTCTCAGCCTGTGGACATAATGTGTTCTAGAGTTTGTTAAGAATGTGATGAATATATTGCAGAGTTTTGAATTTCTGGGTAGATTCCTCTAACTGCAAACCAAAAGTGCAGGGATTTACAGAGCAGAATAGCTTCAAGTTCTGTAGAGTAGTCCACATCTGTTTTCTTATCAACTGGCACTTACAGTTTCAGTAACTCACTCTGAGGCATTAGTAAGAGAAAGAATAAAAAGTTTCATTACTTACAATTGAACAGATAAAATAGCAAACTGACAAACATGACTGCTTTCAGCAACAGTCCTCAACAGATTAAAAAGAGGGAAAGGAAAACAATCAGCAGACAGAAAGACTTCTCTTTGAATTCAGAGGTAGGGAAGGAATTATTGTTACTGCTGGATAGATTGAATGTCACCCCAGGTCAGAAAGATCTCTCCCAGCCGCACCTTCTCCAGGCAGCATGCAAGGTTTATTTATTTATTTATTAAATTTATACCCCGCCTATCTAGACCAAAAGTCTAGATGTAAAAACTTTTGTAAAAACTTTAACAGAATACTTCTGAAGAAGAATTTTAATTTCCTTTCTTTTAGGCCACTTTACTCTTTCTGCTGAGGCCCGTGATATAAGTGTACTAAATAGGTTTGTTCCATCTAGTGGCAGCATGACTTTCTCATCCTTCCATCAAGTCACAGTTTTTGTCAGAGATATTCTTCAGCATTTTAGGGTTTTAGTGTTGAATCCAAGTGAGGAAATGCAAGCGACTATTTTTATAAATGCTTCACATAGCCATCTGAATAGAATTTGAGGGGTGAAAAGGTAGCCTTGTAACCCGAAGGCTTCCCATTTTGAATGTGAGTTCTGCTGTGAACAAGAGTAGGAACCTCTCAAGGAAATATTCCAAAAAAACCCACCTTCAGGTGAAAAGTCTTGAGCATGCTAAATTTAGGCCTTTTTACAGTATGCATTAGTGTATGAAATAACAAGAAATAGTCATGTTCAGAATTTCAGTTCACATGATCTATTTTATGTGTCTTCTGAACTGCCATTCTGTACTGAAAGAAAAACACTCAAAAGAGCTGAAAGGCCAAAATGAATAGAATTAAAATAAAGTGAAATGTAAGCAAGGGTCTACAGAGAAATCCTTTCCCTTCATTCTCTTCCTGTGTAAGAGGTACTTTGAAATATAGACAACTGTGAGAATTTAAAATCTTTAGTAGTACTTTGGTGATAATAAATCTGAGTGCGACAGGATAGGCATTAGAGAAATGATGACAAACCTAGGGATAAAATGCTTGAATAGTAGAAGCAGGAATAACTAATTGGTGGCTACAGTTTCGGTGACTTTTTTACTGTTAGGGGGGATTCAAATTTTGCCATTCTGCCAGTAGAATAGGATGTAGAATACTAACCTCCTCATACTACCTACAGAATATTAGAACACTAACATGTTTGCGATGCTAAAATAACCTTATAAAAATCGTTATTTTATGCAAAAGGTGTAACTTTTAGTGGCAAATTACCATACATTACAAAATATCTGTGGGCATTGTTTGTTGCATGCCAAATCATGTGACGCCACATGCAACAATCTCCTATGGAGGTGTCTTAATTTATGGCAGATTTGTTGCTAAATGTTAAGCCTTTTGCAAAAGTTTGCAACAGGTTTTTTGGCATGCTAATGTAAAGTTATTATATTATTTATGCTATCTGGATAGCTTATCGAGTTAGGTAATTGGTTGTGGAACCTGAAGTAGGGAGTTCAGATTATCCACTGTTCATTCTAGAATAGCTGGCCTGTATGACCTTGGGCAAACTGCACAGTCCCAGAATGCCTCCAGAAGAAGGGAATGGTAAACCACCTCTGAGTGCTCTTTAATTAGAGTGCTGTTTAATCTGAAAAGGATTGCCAAAAGTCGGAATTGATGGAACACAATTATTATATTATCTACATCTGAGATCAAATTGCTCATACAGATACTGTATTGAAGAATGATAAGATGCCAGGAAAGGGTGGTTTGGTTTTTTTGCTAAAAATAATTGAATTAATAATATGGAATGGTGGGCTTCATTTTTGGCAGACTTACTCACCTTTTTCATTCAAACAAGGGTATATCCAGAAAGACTGGAATCTTAGCATGATAGTACTAATGTTTAAGAAAGGCAATAGACTAGACCGCAGAAATTAGAGACCCCTTCAGTCTGGCTGATACGTCAACTAAAATCTACTTGCAAAAAGTAGTGGATTTGGCAAACCACAACAAGAACAACCTTAATAGCTGAAGAACAGACAAGTTTCAGTAAGGAAGATCTGCCATGGAAATCTGTTACAAAATACACAGGAAGAAATGTACAGGTTTTTGCTGCTTTTATAGACTTAAGTACAGCTTTACTCTGTAAATAGATAATATTTGTGGGAGAAAAGGAGCAAGGTGGCCTGTAAATAAGACAAATAAATAAATAACAAATAAATAAAAAGTTCAATACAAACATGGGTTTGAGATTTCTTTTCTTAATGAAATCTGCTTTATCCAGTTGTGGAGGATTTTGCACATTCTCAAATATCAGTTCTTCACTAATATCAGAGATCATTATTTGTTTGCAGTAAAGACTGTAAGGAGAAATTTGTGGATTCAATTTGGCAAATAGGGCTGGGAACCTGAATATACTGGAGTATGACTGTAACTTGAAAAAAACAAATTAAGGCCACCTACCAAAGTATATCCTATTTTCATTTTAGAAATGTCCGTTTGCCACATTAGTAAAGCTTCATTTGTATGGGCTGAAATGCTGTTGCTTTGAGCAATGGAAGGTGTAACATTTCTTTATTCCTAGCCAAAAATTAAAGAGTCATTGATCAGACTAAAAAACAACAACTCCCCCACAAAACACAGAAAGTCAGCTTAAAGACTAACTGCAGTATTTTAATGTGAACTTTAATGGACATGGTGGCGCTGCGGGCTAAACCGCAGAAGCCTGTGCTGCAGGGTCAGAAGACCAAGCAGTCGTAAGATAGAATCCATGTCACGGAGTGAGCGTCTGTCACTTGTCCCAGCTCCCGCCAACCTAGCGGTTCGAAAGCATGCAAATGCAAGTAGATAAATAGGGACCACCTCGGTGGGAAGGTAACAGCGTTCCGTGTCTAAGTCGCACTGGCCATGTGACCACGGAAGATTGTCTTCGGACAAAACGCTGGCTCTGTGGCTTGGAAACGGGAATGAGCACCGCCCCATAGACTTGACCACGACTGGACAAAAATTGTCAAGGGGAACCTTTACCTTTACCTTAATGGATCAAGTCCACTTCCTGAAAATCACTGTTATGATTCTTGATGGCGGTGGTGGGACATGTATGCATGCATGCTGTCTTGGTGCATGCTCAAGAATTGTACTGGGGACACTCTTAATTTCTGCTAGGAACGAATGAATGTTATTCCTTTTGTTATACAAAGCAACAGGGTTTCAGCCATTATATCTTTGTCTAAATCTATATGTATCCTTTCTGTATGTGATGTCTTGATTTCAGATGTGATTTCTAGACAGTTTTGTACTTAGTCATTTTATTTTGCAACATCTTTGGGCAATGCAAATGTATATTACTGTTTGATTTTTAATGGGAATCTAATAACTGAATAGTTCTAAAAACAAATGGCCGAATAACATGAAATATGGTACAAGGATATTAACAATGTGAGATTGCTTTTGAGTTTGTACAAAAAGAAAAATTGTGTACTATCCTTAGATCAGGCATTTTCTGGTTTACAGTATCTGTTTTTGCTGCCAAGCATTGCTAAATATGTGTACAATATAGATTTGATAATCTGTAAACAGGTGTGGATAATAGTTGGATAGCTCAGTGGTTCAGGTATCTGTTGTGGAGCCAGAGACTGGGAATTCAATTCCCACTATGCCTTCAGGGAGAACAGCCAGCCTGTATGGCTGTGGGCAAGCTGCACAGTCTCAAGGTGGCTCCATAAAAAGGGAATGGTAAACCACTTCTAAGTATTGTCTACCAGGAAAACCCTGAAAAATGGTCACCATGAGTCAGAATTGACTTGATGGCTCATGACTATTATTATTGTTTGTGTTTACATATATATGAGGGAAACTGCTAAATCTTGGTGGCAAAGTGCCATTCATCTAGTGAGGTGCTGTTTGCAATTCTGGGTTTTTGTCATGTCAGGCACACATGCAGAGAAAAAACCAGCACCACATTAATAAGCAACAGTTTGCTACCAAGGCTTGCACAATTTCTCTTATGCACACATTAAATTTCAAATAGGATTCTGACCTGTTTGTGTCAGAATGTAAACATTGCAGCATTTATTTTTAATTAGTAGTTTTCATCCTGAAAAAGTTTGTTTCACTTTTTTAAAGGATTGTTAAGAAGGGACATACATATATACATAAGTGAGCACAAACAGGACATAAAATTAAAACAAGTGCAATAATTTAATGCTAATGTATATCTTGATTGGATTCATGGTGATGTTCCGTCTATGATTATTATAGGTAATTTCTGGCTCAAATATGTTGGGCTATTTGTAAGAACAGAATTGTGTTTTTTTCCAGTCCTGTGAATTGGCCTCTTTTTTGCATTAGATTATATCAGACATTTCCCATTCCTTTAAAAGAAGTTTTCATGCCCCTCTGTTAACAAACAGCTGTCATGAGATTAAAATTATGTTTTCTTTCTATCACAGTTGTCTAGGAATAAAATAAATTATACAATATGCATGCAATCTGTTTAATTTTGTTCTAAATCAGAAGAGGTAATTTAGTGCTTCCTTCAATACTAATCAGAAATCACAAGTTAAGAGATACATGGTACTTTTTATGGAAACAAAGCTGGAGATTAAATCTGGGTAGTGCAAGAACTAAATTTAACAGGAGCCAATTTGAATAGTGTTACCAACATGTTGGATAGTGTGCAACCCTCACAACCTAATTACATCATATAGTAGAAGATCATGTTCTTTCAGTTTTAAAATATAACCCTTGATCAGTTAAAAAAGGCATTCTGCAAAACACACAAATGTGATAGAGAGCTCTCTTTTTTATGATCTGTTTTGATGGCTGAGAAGGGAAGCTGTATTGATTCATGGGGGCACAATGTGGTAGTACCTTTATCGGGACCTGCTGAAATATTACAAAGTGCTATAAATAATTGCATGAAGCAGTATGGTTTAGTAGACTACATATAAACTGGTATTATCATTGTTTGCTGTATCTGTGTATCTGTATTTGCCATGTCTATTTTTTTTTAAACAGACTGTTATTTATGCATTTCAAGTTCAGTCACCATAATAAAATAGTGGTCTCTCTATAAAATGTGTTCCTTTTTCCAGATCACCTTTTGCTGCTGTGACAGATTATTCTGTAACACGAAATAATGTCATACAACTCTGTCTTGAATTAACAACAATTGTACAGCAGGTATGACACCATCTTCATGTCCTCTTTCACTTAACGTAATTTGCAAAGTACACTGTGTAAAGATTTCAAAGGCAAGTCTCTTTTCTGGTCAAAACATTTCTGTTTACTTAATGAGCAAGATGTCTGCAGTACAGGTGTCTACTTAGTCATGGTGTAATATTTCAGATTCCTGTACCTTAGGCAAAAATGGAGAGAAGATGCATCAGAAATATTCCTTAAAACTGCTGTGATTAAATAAATGCATTCAACAGTGCAAATTCAAAACATTTAAAGATTACACTGATTGGAATAATGCTTCATTTTTTAAATCTTATTTTGCCTTCATTGGAAGGAAGAGTAGTATTCATGATTGACCTCACTGGCTAGTGTATCTAAAGAAGAATGCACCAACAAACCGCCCCCCCCCCCAATATCTAATGCTGAGCAGGACTGTATCTGACATAAATCAATGGTAATAATCTGTATTTGTTGTTGAATTTCCATTTTTATTCCTACTCATTTGGCAAATATAGAAGCCTGCTTTTTAATTAGTAAAATTGTCATATGCTTAATGAAGAAATATTTCCTGCAAGATATGTAGGTCCGTCTGACAACACATTACATAAACAATCCACAGTTTCACACAGGTATTTTAATTTGTTTCTGTGGCCAATCCTAATTGTCTTTTATATATATATATATTTTTGGGTTATAGTTAAGGTTTAGAAGCTAGTTGGGATTATCATACTGCTTCAAAATTTTGAAGTTGTTAGTAAATTAATTTTGAAGTTGTCAGTAAAGTGTGTCCCTTTTTATCTTAGGGTATCTAAGAATTATGAAAGAGATAATCAGAAAATTTATTTTTGGGGTAATTAAAGGGCTACACAGCAGAACAAAATTAAATGAAGGCAGTAATTTTGCAAAAATTCTTATATTCATTTTTGTGTAGGAAGACATGGGTTTAAAAGGTGGTAGTGTTTTTTCACGCATTTCTTGATCAAGTATAATGATGTATGTATGGTGGTTTGGGGCTTCTCAGCTATATTTACAGTGTTGACCATTGTTGAAATTGAAGTTTCATTAGATTAACAAGACTTCATACTTGTTACAAATAATAGTTTACTAAATACAACATATTTTGTAATGCATCACTTGCATCTCTCATCTTCTACAATTTGCATTATGTATGTTCACACATGGAAGTTACCACTGGTGTTGGTAGATGTTAATTTTTATTTGCCTTGTATTAAGAATGTGTATTTGGCATATTTTAATGCATTTGGTATATCTTTCTCCAGAGGAATTGTTATGAGAATGATGTGCAGAATCATTTCTATATGTGGCTTAGGTATTCTTATAGTGTCAGCAAAGCATAAGCTCATGGTGCCAGCATGCTACTTAATGTAGAGTTTGCAAAACATGCATTTTCATCCTTCAGGCATTTACCTGAGAGAAATATAGCTTCCCAACATATCTTTAGATGTGTGAAGGCTAAAGTTTGTAAGAAGGGGATAACAGGTAGTGAAGGAGCTATGTCAATCTCTGTCCCACTGATTTTTCTAGTCTTCCCCACTGAATCTGATTACAGAACCTAAATTGATTTGATTCCAATCTTGCTGATTAGTGTTGCAAGCCCTCTGTGCCATTTTGTGGATGAAGATTTCAGAACATTTTAGTAGGGGACTTCATTTTTATTTGTGCTATTTCCCCAGACCCCTTGCTTGTACTGCTTTGGGTGGCTTTGAATGCTTGGTGTTTGCAGTTTCTATATTAATTTTTGAAACACGGTACTGGTTTCCATTTTCTTATAAGCATTGTGCACAGAACTGTTTATCCTAAGTCTGTCTCCTTGACAACAAGGTCCTTTTCATTGGTTATATAACAAATTATGTGTGCAGGCAAGATCTTTTCGTGACTTAAGAGTTTATTTTATTTTTTAATCCATTCGTACAAAAGTTAAGGCTTCCAGTGGATTTTTGCTTTTACTTTACTTACTGTGCTTATTAGTGCCTTCTCATACTTCAGAAGGAAAAAGAATTTTGCCTCAGGAGACAGATGTGTGGGCATCTTCATCTACCGACTAGAAATTTCTCTTGACAATTCTACAGCAAAGGCATTAGGTCTCCATCATTAGGCTTAGTATATATAGGTGTGAGTGCTTTTTATTCTATTCCATATATTCATCTCATGTTTATCAGGTAAAATAGATGTGCCAATTTTTGCAAGACATTCCAGCACAGTTTCTCACAAATCGATTCCAGTTTAGAAATACAGTTTGGTAATGTCTCTACATTTAACAAAAACATGGGACAGGTAGGAAACGAGTGGTGAGGAAGGGAAGGATTAAGTAATAGGATAGTACTTAGATGAATCTTTACCTCTGTACAAGTCCTGGGAAGATATGTAGCCACATAAGAAAATGTTTGATTACGTCTTCATATGGTAGAAGATCTTTTTGTTCTGGAGGACAAACTAGATTACATGGGTAGCTTGACTTTTGAAGTTGAGTTTCCTAAAGTGGTGAAAAATTGGAAGAATTTCTCAATCATCTCAACAGCATCCACCCAAATATACAGTTCACCATGGAAAAAGAAATAGAGGGCCAATTCCCGTTCTTAGATGTCATGGTCCTACACAAAACTGACCTCTGACTGGGACACAAGGTCTACAGAAAACCCACCCACACAGACCGGCACCTACACAAAAATTCCAACCACCACCCACAACAAAAAAGAGGCATAATCAAAACACTGGTAGACCGTGCAAATCAACTGTGAAGCTCAGTTTCTCAGCGCTGAACTCAACCATCTGAATTGGGCCCTATGGGCAAATGGCTACTCCAAAAATGAAATCACAAGAGCCATCAAACCAAGAAAACAACACCAAACTGAAGAAGAAAAGCAGCCACCCACAAATAAAGTATTTCTGCCATACATCAAAGGGGTCATGGACCGCATGGGAAAACTTTAAAAAAAAACACAACCTACAAACAGTATTCAAGCCCACCACAAAAATACAACAAATGTTACAGTCAGCAAAGGACAGAAGGGACCTCCTCACCACTGCAGGAGTGTACCGGATACCTTGCAGTTGTGGCCAGGTACATATTGGAACCACAAAACCACACCAGAATCAAAGAACATGA